GGGGCAAAGGAAGGCAGAGGATGGGGGACAGCACAAGTGAGGGCACACATCTTCCATGAAGCTCATAATTTCTGATTGAGGTAGGAGATGTTTCAGACAAAGTTTTCAGTCCAAGTGTAGTGTTGTCAAATTATCTGTGACCATGCAGCTACATATTTCCAGTCTGGTTTGTTTTGTTGTTTGAGGGGCCTTTATTTTTGAGGATGTAAATAAGCAAAAGCATAAACCTTCTAAACCTTCATTTGCAGTACCTTTTTTTTTTCTTTTCAATGCTTATGTGAAGGGTTTGATCTAATATGCATATACGAGTTTATTCTTTAGGTGTTTCTAGATTCAAAGGAAGAGCTGAGTTTTCTTTAGGGAGGAACTGAAACTTTCTTGAAAGGAAGTGATAGATGTAGTTGGCTCATTGTTATCTTAAGCATTTCCCTTCTTTGTTGCACTGGAGATAGATGAATAGCTGCTGTGCATGGACATACAAGACTCTCAAGCTCTGGTTAATGATTTTTGGTAATTAAATAATTCAAGGTGTGATTGAATCAAACTCCAACCAAAGGGATTTTATTCTTGAAAGAATCTGTCAGGCAACACTTTTGCATCACTTTCTTGGCTTATCTGCTGCTGGCATCTTGGTCTTCTCCTCCCTGCTGCTCCTCAATGACAGTGGGTGCAGTGGGCATCAAAACCAGGAGTTCATGGTGGTTTTGAAGTTGTCTTTCAAAGGAGAAAGGCTTACACACCTGTGCTGCAGATTGCAGGCAAATCTTTGTTTCTTAAATAACTCTGGAATATGTTGCTTGAATTCAACCACACTTGACTGAGGCAACTGGTGACTGCTGTAGGGGAGGGCCAAAAACAGCTGCCACTGCTGAGGGCACGGAGAGGGAAGGCAGCCACTGTGGTAGCTTTCAGCAGCAGGGCTGTCAGTCAGCCACACACAGGCCTAAAATTCTTCATAGGGTTATTTCTCCTCTATCAGAACTGCCACAGGGAATACAGTGCTCATACCTCAGAGAAAAGGTGTGATGGGGGCAGGTAAAGAATGGTTAAAAACATGGGCTCCTGCTTTCATCAGTTACTTCGAGCAGTGAAATGGTTCACACACACACACAAAGCTTTAAGCACACCCTGGAGTATTTAAGGCATTTATGAAAATCCAAAGCATCTTGTTCATTTCAATTATTCTCCACCCACATTCTTCATTGAATTAAAGGATATCCTACACACTCTTTTGTTTCACTTATTCCCCAAAGCTTGTTTCATCGTACATCAAGCAAGGATCTTCAGCATATTCACAGAAATGTCTCGGTCACGGCGCTCAGGATTATGATGTTCCTGGCACAAGGGATGTTATTAAAGGATTGAATAGATGAATAGATGGCAGATTTCCCCAGGGCAGCACATCAGAAAATGGACATCAAAAGAACCTGGCTCAAAGTGCAGTGGGTATTGCAGGCTCCTGACAAATCCCACTCATTTCTGAACAGTAGCACTGTCAGGCTGTGTTAGGGACATGTCCATCCTGGAATACCTACATAAAACTGCTTGCTTATCCAGTAAAAGCACTCAAATTTCAACACCCATCCTCTAGTTGAAAATAGCATAATCTTCATTAGTCAAAAGTACTTTGGGCCATAATCCAAATACAATCTTACTCAAATAACTACCAGCATCCCAAGGCTCAGGCGCTGTAGCCATCAAAATTTTCTCCTACCATTTTTCATGAATCCATCTGGATTGCCCTAGAAGCTCTGAATGTGTGAGTCTCTTTTACAGGACATGTAGGTTGTCACATATTACAAGTCATCTTCACAGACCCTGACAGCATAACAGGCCACAGTCTGTGACAGGAAATTTAAAAAATTTTTATTTCCTTTTGCACAAAGAACTGGTTGGAATTTATTTTCTTAAAGCTATTTCAAACCATGAGTAACAATCAATTCCTAAGCAGGCACTGAGGAAGGAGAAGCACATATACTGACATGATGTCACCACCTGAATTATTCTGCTGAGATATAAAAATAGTTTGGAAGGCAGTACGGCCAAAATTACTATATCATTTAATTACAACCTGCTTTCATGACAGGCCATCAGTTAATTAAGAGTGTCAAAATGCTGAATTGCCTCCAGCTTCTACATGCTTTGCAAATTACATGGAAGTCATCTTTTTAAATAGCAACAGCTTAACTGAAAATGTAGAACCCGTAGTGAAATGCTTTGAAAAATGAGGCAGTCAACTGAGCTGACCTGAAACTCCCCACACCATAAATTCACTAGGGAAGACAGTTATAACCCATTTAATTTACTCTCTGAAGATCACATTCACATGACATCAAAACTATTTTTCTGAAATGGATATAATTTTGAAGTGTTATAAAACAGGAGTCTGAAGTGATTGTACTCTGTGCAGGTATATATAGGGCCTGGCTCCAGCACTAGCACCTTCCCTCCAGGCTGCTACAACTGTAAAGCAGGAAAAGGCTCAGAAAAAAGGGATTTTTTCATTTAGATATGTCACCTTCACTGATTCTCAAGTACCATGTATGACATGAAAGAAAATTCTCTGTAAAGGGAATAATGTTGCTATAAACTTAGAAAATGAAGCAAATGCTTTACCCATTTGTTACATCTGATATCAAATCCCTTATTGTCTTTATAGAGTTATATAGTTTTTTAATTAAACAAACGATTTTGTATGAATTATATAACAGTTTTATATAAACTGTAGCAATATAAAAAAAGAATAAAGTGAAAAGCAGACTGGATAGAAAGGTCATGTTTCCAAGCACCAAAGGTAAGAGTAGTACCCATCTGCAGAACAAAGCCAAACATCTTGAAACCGAAACAAAAACAGACTGGTTCCTCTCCCTTATTCTCCCTTTGGTGATGAGGAGATTCTTTGATTGGACAGACAGAAAAATATTGTTTGCTGGCTGGACTTTTCTATTCTTCCAACAAAAATGAGTCCTTCACATTGGGAAAAAACCTGATGAGCAAACATGTCCCCCTATATTTTGCAAGAAGCTGAGCATCTTAAAAATAATAACTAAAATCCTGTCTCTTGGCTGAATAAGGAAGCCAAGCCAAAACTGAGCCAGGACTTTATGTAGTATGGCAACATGGAAGTGGATGTTATAGGAGAGTGAATAAAAAGTATGAGGCTACAAGAAAGAAATCTGATCATTCAGAAGAATTGTGGCAGGCTCATGGTTTCATGACTGTGGCAGTGTCCAAGTGATTAACAAATTCAGGATTTTGGAAGACAGACTGAATTTTAATATAATTTACGTGAATTTTATTCACATGTGGGAGTAAGGGCAGTACATTAGGCCTGTAATTTATGCAATAGGCAAAGAACTTCAAATATCAGAAAGAACTGAATGTGCTTTTTAACTTGACTTCAAAGTGCTCCCTACTACTAAAGACTTTGATTGAGAAAAACTTTGAGCTTAGTAAAATGCCATTTAATCTAACAGGCCATAAAATAAAAGCTGACCAGTAAACAGGAGTGCTTTGCCAGATGACAAACACCTCAATACAACTTTCACAAAATGGTGATTATTCAATTATTTAATGTCTATTTCAAAGGCAACATCTGTGGGATGGATGCTGTCATCCATGTCATCATAGTGGGACATTATTGCTGTTTCTGTAAGGAAGAAACCCTGAGCCCTGTAACTGGACTTTACTGCCATTCACAACTACTGAAAACCAGCTGCCATTAATTTTACAATCCCCATGGAGGTTTAAGGTAAAGGGACATCTTTTATTCAGTGTCTTCACAGAGAGCAGTCTAACAAAGGAGTTAGTATCCAGCAAGGCCCATTACACAATACGATGATGCAACATCAATGGAACATTGTGTTCTCCCCTGAGCACTCACCTGCAGTGTTTGACAGGCAATCCTTGGGGTCCCAGCATTAGCCCAGCAGTGGCTGGGGAGGCATTGGCTCCAGCCCCTTCCCCTGATGGTGGAAAATACCCCATTGGTTGCAGTTGTGCAAGCTTAGCAAATGCTTCACATACCAGCCTGTGCTGGCCTCCTTATTCATGGAAACATACTTAAAATTCTCATTTGCCAGGTGTGGTGTTAGGGTGTTAGGCTGGACAAGTCTAGAATCCTGCAGACACTGGAATGTGGCAAGGGGGGATGAAAGTGATTATGATCTTTAATGTAACCTCAAAACCATCATTTCTTATAGATATTAAGCCACAAAAATGGAGTTAAAGGAACAATAGTGTCACTGGGTTTATGCAGAGATCTCCTGACTAATTATTTTAATTATGCAACCACTAATTATTCTAGGCAGGCATGCCCACTTCCCATTGGTTCATTCCTCTTTCACCAGACCATATGAGGGAGGAAATGACCCAAACAAACAACAAGAAAAAAATCTGAAACACACATGTTCATCTTGATCATATAATTTATTGAGTCAGCACGATGGCAAACAGGGAATCAGTTGGTCTTACCGTCACAGGCAAAGCCCACCACCAAATGCCATGGAGGTGTCCACACACTCCTCCTGCTTGTCCCATGAACTCCATGGCTCTGCTGGAACCTTCCTGTTCTCCTGGCACTGGTTTGCCTTTACAGCAGTGTAGCAACTCCCTGCTCAAGCAAAAAGACATTGCTTCACCAGGTGTAATTAAGCCTATAAAAAAAACACCTCAAGCTTATTTATGCCTTGCTAAATCACATGATTGATATTTTGTGGAGTGCTGTGAGTCAGACAATTGGGAAGGCCTGACCAGCTATTTCCTCAACATCTCAGTGAGAGATGTCTGTGTGTTGTTCATGTTTGTACCTCGGCAGTCAGTCAGATGAATGCTTTGAGTTTGCCAAAAAAGGCTGGTACCCCATTTCAAAGTGCCAGAACCCTTTCAAATAATTTTGACTATGACACAGAATTAAATAGGGCACAGTAAATAATAGCACGTACATCAAGAAACTTCACTATTGGGGGAAGAGAGTGGGGGAATGAGAAAGAAAAATGCTCTTTGGCATCTTTGACATCTGTCTTTTATTTTGCTTTCATCAGACCAGAGAGACACTCCAAGTATAAAACTGGCATTGTTTCTGCTTTAACAGAATTACTTGAATATGGTAGGAACAACTGTTAAACCTTGTTTTTGTGCAAGTAGACCAATGCATGTAATTCCTCCTGCAGGAATTCTTCATTGGACTGATTATGAGGGCAGGAGTAATTGAGGACAAGTATTTAATCACCTCTCTTATCTTGGCTTGTCTAAGTGTTAAGATAAAGAGGTAAAAATCAAACCAAGGCACATCTCATACAAATTTTAACACAGATTAATATGTCTCAACAGAGAAATTAATAAAAAGAATTGCTCACCATATTTTTTCAATACAAGTGAATTCTTGTTCTGAATAGTTAGTACTTTTCTTTTTTCTTTTCCAGCAAATTCTGGCCATCCGGAACCATAATGAACACGAGAACCTGAGCAGTTTGGAAGCATCAGCACACTGTGATGGCTGTCAAATTCAGTAGTCTTGTTTCTCAGACAATACCATAACAGCTATTGAGAAAGGAAGATGACAGAACTGCAGTCACAAAGGCAAACATAATGGCTGTACATTCCTGATGGTGCTACTGTGAGCCATTGAGGAAATGGAAGTATAAGACATCTAAACCTTTTATTACAGTTTACTGCAAATCCATGAAGTGCTTGTGCAGATTAAAACCAATAAGACTGTGTGCATTTTTCATGGAAGAGTTTCCATTACTTAAGATGCTAATGATGTTTGCTTGTAGCCAAAGAACAAGCAAGCTTGTTCAAAGAACTCACCAGGTTCTCAGTGACCCAGACTGCAATATAAAAATCCTCTATAATTTACAAAATCATCAGGATAGAACATATATTCCACTGGAAACAATAGCTAGATTATCCCTTCAAATTTGACTATAGCCTTTAAAAGAAAAAAAGAGTGTCTCAAATACTTTTATGGAAAACCTATTTCAAGGTTCTCAGGAGAACTGAGCTGGAAAAATCACCATGTAATGGGATAAACTATTACAATTTTAGGGCTGCAAGTGGCCAACATGATTTCTCAGTGCACACTGCCAATGAAAGCAACCCTGTAACTCAAAGGGCAGGAGAAGAGTTAGAGGCAATAATATCCCTGTGTTCAAAAGTTAATAATTTACAACACTGAAATGCTGCTGAAAGGTGACATAGTAAAGACTAGAAAATAACACATCCCCTGTTTTTCAGAAGACTGGCGTCACTTTTATGTCAAAATAGAAGCCTCAGCAAATTGCCCAAATATCCATCAGGAGATTGTGAGAAAGCCTGATGTCTTTCAGTTAAACTGTTGAAGCAGGCTTGGGAAACTTAAGATATACAAGGGAAGAAATCCTTATTCAAAGTAAAAATTATTTTAGGCCGCATTTGCATTCTTTCAGAAACATGCAAAATGTCACTAATCACAGAGCAGGCCAAGTCTCCAGCAACAGAGCAAAGGTTTCAAAATTAATAGAGCAGGAATTTAGTTGCATTGTTACTCCCTGGAGATTATAACAATGCTGTAAGCAAACTAGGGTAGTCTTCAATTCAACAGCATGTGTCAAAAACCATTTGAAACTTGATCTTGTCACAAAAGTGGAAATTCCATACTAAATACCTCAGTCAGTAAATTTTAAAGTGATTTTTAGTGAACAAGAACCTGCAGCATGGAACAGCAAAACTTCAGCAGCTTGCCCCAGTAAATCAGTGTTCACCTAGGAGACATGCAGAACAGGCTCACTGGGAAGGCTGTGCAGCTGTGGAGCAGTAGGGTGGCTGGGGTAGAGGGCAGTGAGGGCACGCTGGGCTCACATGGGCAGCTTATATCTGCCCATGGTGCAGGAAGAGTGAACTGGACAGAATTCCTATTTCACAACAAAAAATTTAAAACAAATTGCAAGTTAGAGGATCTGATGACATCATCACCCAAGGCTTCAATATGACAAATCCTCCCCTCGTCCCAAACTCGGTAGGACCCTGGCAGCAGCAGCACAAGCTGCCCTACAGTGTCTTGCCAAGCCCCAGCAGCAGCAGGGCTCAAAGGCCAGCTCAGTCCAGCCTGTGAGGCTGCTTTGCTGCTGGCCATCCCCACCCAGCCTGCCTGCAAACATTTCCCTGTTAGGGGGTTAACCTTTATCTCCCAAACGTTTTAAGCTCATTGGCAGGTGGTGAGGCAAAGGCTCCTGTAGCTTCAGAGCAAGCTGGTCTAGCTGACCTCAGGAGTCAGTTTGGGAAAGCAAAGGAAGGGGAAGCCTTGCTCTGTTGGCAGCAGAAAAGCCAGAAATCAGTGGAAGCTCTTCAGGGAGCTTCACTTGTGGTGTGCAAAGGTCTGACATCCTGCTGACATCTGCTGAGATTTTACATCTTCACTTACCTATGTCAGGCAATCATTTGCATTGCTTGGAAATTTCCAGCTTCACACATGGCCTGATGTGCTCAAAATGTTGTTTGCGCCACACTTCCCAATGTCTGTAGAGAGCTGGTCTCACAGCACTGGCTCTTCTTTATCAGCTAAGTTGCATTAGACAGAATCTAAAAATACATTAAATACTTTCTAATATTACTTTTTGACATAAGCAGTTACTATAGCTGCAACAAGGATGTTGCAAGAAAGTCCAATGAGGTTGCATAACTCCTTTTATTCAGCTGGGATATGTGCACTGAAAGGTCAAAAGGCCTTGGAATAAGGTTTTTTGTTTCTGTTTGCCTTAGCATTCATACTTTAACACAAATATCACAACTTCAAAAACTCAAATGAGCAGTTAAACTCCTTTTACTTTGAAGAGGCAATTAATTTTGTTTAGCTACAAAAATCTACCTGCAATGCAAAATTCAAGGAGATGCTGTCTAATATGTAAGAATCTGACAAATAACAGTTGACAAAGAAGCAGCATCTGAACAAGCTGGGGGTCTGTTGCTTAGCGATAGGGAATTTAAGAGCACAGAGAACCCACCAAATACTATGTTGTTTAGCACATAGAAGTAGCTTTTTATACCAATTGCACAGAGGTGTAGCTCTCTCCTCTCAAGAAACATCCAGTTTGGTTATTTATTCATTTACAAAGCACATAGAGGAGGCAGAGCAGTACTCCTGAAATAAAGGCAAAGGCCCTGGAAGATGTACAAGTCTGTTTTTTCTTGTCCTGTAACAGTGGTGGATGTGAAATGAAAACCCCAATAACCATGCTCTAGATACCAACCCAAGCTTCCACCCAAACATACCAAGAATACCAATTTTAGAAATAGTATCTTTGCTTGCTCCCCAAATCCCTGATACTGCATCCCTCATGTTTCTGGATAAATCCATTAAGTTCTTCATATCTGCAAACTAGTACTTAAAAGGGAGGGATTAAAAAAAAATATTTAATGAGAAAGCAGTTAAAGACTAACCATTCCCTGCATTTGTGCTGTCACTTCTGTGAAGCTGCAATGGCTGCTGTTGTGATGTGCTTCTCTTCTGCACCACTTCATTTGCTCAAGCACAAAACAGGGATCATTTAGTTAGTGAAATCTGGATCCCCAGAATAAAGACTACTCACTTTGTGAGCAAACCAGTATTGACTTTGAATAATATAAGCAGACTGATCTTCAGTGCTAGTCGAAAAATGCACTCAACTCACCTTCACCTAAGGGGCAGTCTGCTCAGCCCTCTGTAAATTCCTACTGTCCAGAGCTGCATGGGTTCTGATTCCAAGGAATCTCAGGAGGATCCTTCCTGGACCTTCCTCAGTAGAGACATTAATTCATCTCATATGTAGCATAGCTTTACTGTGTTTTTATGGCTTCCTCAATTCCTTCCTGCTAACAGAAGTACACTGGTCAATCAACCCACTGGTCACTAATTAAATCAGCTGTAAGACCTCCAGTGCTCATTTTGTACACACCAAATCCAAAACATTATTTGTGAAGATCCTGGCAGAAGGGAGGTCATAGCAACTCCTAGTTCCCATGGAAAGTTGACAAATATGAGCAAGTTATCAACATATTTCCACAGCAGTTCTAAATACATCCTTATAATTCCTGTGCTCAAGTATTGCTATATAACAAAAGCTAAAAACAAAAAATCCAAGGTCTGTATTGTGCATTAAATGTCCTTTTTATATTAACTCTTTCCACCCTACAAACATTCCCAGCTGTAAATTCACTTTGTCCTCCAGCTCTGCATGGGAAATCCATGCAGCCAGTGGTAACTGCCTGTGCTGTAACCCCGGCATCCATCACACACAGGCATTTCTTTTCCATAGAGAAAACTGTGAAACAATTGCAGCTTTTCAGACTTCTCTCCTGCCTCAGAGAAACCAGCCAGACCCAGGTTTCCCAGTCATAAACTAGGGAACTACACACGTGCACCAGCAGGCAGGGCAGGAAGGTCAGTGTTTGCTGTCTCACACATTTGCAGATTCTTTGATTTTCACTGATAGAGCTCTGACTCCCTCACAACCCAGGAGACATTTCAATTTCCTTTCTGCTCCATCTGCCTACTTTCCAATCACTGCTAAGTTATTTAACATGTCAGTAGCATTACCAGTATTTTTAATACAACAGCAGAGTTAACTAGTGAGCAAGTAAGCACAAGGGTTTCAGAAGTATGGTGGTTATCATGCTTCAACCCAAGGAAAGAAGAACTTAGTGTTCACCTTTATGAGGGGAGTTTTTATTTACCAACACTCCCCAAAACTATTTTTAGCAACCATGCATTTCCATCAGCATGTACAAACACTGTTTGTGTTATACCATGAATAAATGCAAAAGAAAAAGAGCTTTTCCCACAACAGCCTCAATAGGCTACTTTTAATTAAAATCAGTTTAATGATTGATAAGCTCTAGTATTTCCAGCAGCAAATCATAAGTGGTTGACTGTTTCCAGATACAGTGAAAAAACTGAAGATAATATAACTACATAAGCTAGCATAGTTAGTTGGTTTACTGGTTGTCAACGTAGGAAAAATTTGAGGGTTTAACATGTAAATTTAAGAGCAAAAACTGAATCAGTATTTTGTAGGAATCAAAGTTCAGCTATATAAACTGAGGGAATCATTGTTTCCAAGGCTTACTTTTAATCTCTCACAGAATTACTTTTGACATACCTCCTACATCAGAATGAACAAGCAGGAATTTTCAGTATCTCATTAGTATTTAGAAAGGGGATGTCCCATGTATCAATTCTGTACAGTTGCTACTTGGAAAGGTTCTTCACTTGTGCCTCTTAAGCAAACAGACGAACACTGCAACTACCTGTGGCCTCATGTCCTTGCTTTGCTCCCTGGGCTCACAGAGGCAGCAGAAGACAATTCCATGTGGCTGAGCACACATTTGTGGAGATATCTCCTCCTTATGAACAGAACAAACCATATGCAGCTGATCAGCCATACAACAAACAAAAGTTTCTTTCAACACCACAGAGAAAATAGGAGTGAGTATAGGGAGTGTGAAATCCTAGAGCTCTAACACGACCCTCCCTAGCCCCTGGTCTTCCTTGGTCACTGTCACCAAGAATGCAGTGCTGTCTCCAACAGCTGCTGCATCCACCTGCTTTCCTCAGCCAGTGCTGGTGGGAGAAGCAGACAACACACAGGGGGGAGCATTTCCTCTTTTTACTGTTATTTTATTTTGTAGTAAGATCCACATAGTATATAAAATATAACAAGAAATACTGAACGAAGCCTAGAAAATGAACCGAGTTCAGCTGATGAACCACTACAGCTCAACTTCCGTGGGTTCACAAAGTCTCCAGAACTCATGGACTGTTTGCTTGTACTATTTCAGTTCTCTAGCATATGAGAGCCTACACCAAAAGCTGATATGTTCCAATTAAGCCATAGTTAAGTGACAGATGTAGAGAAAAAAAAAAGTGGCTTTTGTAAGCCACAGCTGCCCTTGACAGAGGTTACAATGATGTCTAACTATACTGTAATGCACATTACATCAAGAACCTTGAAAGAGCCTCTGAGAAAACAGCTTCACATTAAGCATTTTAAAGAAAGGTCATAAATACTGCACTGTACCAACAGTACCTCCCAATGTCCTCCTTATGCCCGAGGAGCATTTGTGTTTTGTAAGAAGCTACTATATAGATGACACCAAACCTAGAGATAGGTTATAGGCCAAGGTTAAGTTACAGAAAAAAAAAAAAAAAAAAAAAAAAAAAAAAAAAAAAAAAAAAAAAAAAAAAAAAAAAAAAAAAAAAAAAAAAAAAGAAAGAAAAAAAAGAAAAAAAAAAAAAAGTCCCTTTAGAGCTAGTCACTGCACAGACTGCCCAGCAGGAAGCAAGGCAAAGTGTCAACAACTCTTTCCTCCCACCCTGAACATTGTTCACACAGTGCATTTAGTTCCTAGTGCCCTAAGAATGAGAGTGGATCATCAGCTGCTAGTAAATGCAGTCATGCCAAGAGAACAGCTTGAAGTTATTCAAGCAAAAACCTGTTACTGTGCAAAACTGGTGCACTGGACTGTTACCAACCAGACCTCCAAGCTTAGAAGGAAGTGACCTGACAGTAGAGAACCAAGGTGTTTTTCTTTTGACTGGGAAATACTTTAGTAACCAACAGGAGAACATACTGCTAAGTCTACATGAAAGGAGTCAAATATCAGCTTCTATCAAAACTTTAGAAACAAAAAAAAAAAAATTAAGAAAAAAAATTGCTCACCACCCCTAAAACCTGGGATCAACACAAGGTTGATAAATACATGTACATTGAGAAACACACCTGCAAGTACAATAGTTACAGCAAATTAAGCCCAAGTTTTAATGGTGTAATGCCTTCAGGTCACAAAACGTGGACAAAACGTTAATCTTAACTCCCTCTGTGCACTATTTGGTGATAATCAAAGTAATGATGCTGAAGATTCATTTTATTTCTACTTCCAAAAGAAAAGGGTAAATGGTTAAATATGTGTTCTCCAATTTGTTCTCCACTATACGTACACCCACACACATACACACACCCCTCAAACTGCACTGACATTTCTTTTTGACCAAAAGAGTAGATCCTGGGAGTAAGTGCAAAATGCAAAATCAACTGACAGAAAATGCTGAACAAACAGCATCATAAAAATACAAAATATTTATATTACTGAACTATTAACAGATGATGTTCTCTGTTTCTTTAAAACTTTGGAACCACATAGCTGATTTCTTAAATCTAGTCCATGCCAGCTTCCAGAACTATTAATGTTTTAGTTAGCTTCATTCTTTGATGCTTCATCAAAATTTTCTACGAGATCTGAAAAAGATGAAGATATTTAATACAGTAATGGCCAGTAAGATTACCTTTGTAAATTTAATGAAAATGCATATAGTTACAGGAAAGATTAAGTAGTACTTAATTACACTTAGGGAAACCATTTCTTTATGGACAGATTTCAAAGGGCTTTAGAAAATATTGGTTGTTTAAATGTATACAAAGAACTAGAAATGCAGAACAGTGAAAATTTTAACATTAAGTGATTAAGATCTGATTTTCAAAGATGCTCTACTAGCTGTAGTTGAGTTCTGAGCATCAGCATTCTTTAAAGAATGTCTGGCGTTTTAGAGAATTGAATTTTATGCAAGGTCACAAAGAAATAAACCAGTGCCAAGGCAGGAGGAACTGAATCTCTGATCCACTTGTATGTTGTTATAGCTAACACACCATACCAAAGGATACAGTGCAATATGGTTATTGATAAAATAGTTATTTGCTGACAAATAAAGTACTTATATTTATTTTCAGACACTGACATAAGCCTTTTTTCTTCAGCTACAGAAATAAAAAATCCCACTCCAGACCCTGATATGAAAACAACCTGCCAATTATGCCATTTTGGAGTCCTAAACCTCTGTTTGTATATTTAGATACCTGATCAACCTCACTGAAACTATTTTAACCTAATTTCACTCAATAATTAAGGTAGTTTCACAAGGTAATCCCTTCTTCAAAATCTGGAATCCCAAGTTATATTTTAACACTGTCCTATATAAGAAGTCTGCCTTTGCAAGCAAGAAGTCTGATCACATCAAAAGCTACATATTTATCTATTAAGTGAATATAAAAGTGTGTATGTGCCCACCTGGAACATCATCATCTTCTTCATCAATATCTTCAGATTTTGGTGCTTTACTATCCAACACTATAAAAAGAAATTTGGTGCTGAGTTCTCATAATACAGAATCAGGGACACTCACACAATAAAATAAAAACCATATATATGAAAAAATCAAGCACTTCCCCAGTCCCCAATAGTGACAAACACACAAATGACCAGGTACTGAGAGTTAACAGCATGACCAAAAGGTTCCCTTAGGGATATTCTGGCAGCAAAGCATTAGCGGAGCCATTTCCAGATGCTATGGAGTATTCATAGAGTTTGAAAGAGATCAAATGATACAGAAAACCCCTAGCATGACTCAAGCTTCCAAGTGAAGTTCCATGTTTTAATGCAACAATAATATGGCACCAACCAATATGACCAACGTATCGTATGATTCAAATATACTTATGATGATCCATCCCTCTAAATTTTAGAAGGTATTTATGCATTGCTAAAGAAAGACAAACCCTTTTAAACTCTGAACATGAATGTTGGAGAAATTAAAACTGATTTAAAAGGAATAAATGTTTGTTGAAAACATTAGAAGAGGTGATGTATATTCCATTCCGAACAGAACTGCAACACATCCAATGACAGTCATTTTAATGGCCATAGCAGTCTAAACTGGAACTGTACCTAATCTTCATTTTTTAACTGTAAAATTACAGTAATACTTATACCACATACACCCCTCCACCCATGCTCCCAAAGTTTTAAAACTAATAGAAAATAAAGAATCATATGCATAACTGTGACTTGCTTTTTTTTTAGTTTTTCATTAAAACTATGATTTTTAACTAGGTTTTTTTTAAAGTATTGCTTGAATGCCAAAGTAAATTGTAGAGCAGAATAACATTTTTTTTCCTTCTATAACTGCAATAGAAATATGTTTTTTATGAAGAAAGAAAACAGAATAGGTTCCCTGACAAAAAGAACTGGTTGAGTTTTTCCAAGTAAAAACATGAACTTGCTTTCCCCATAGCAGTCTGCCATATACAGTTGTACACCTTCTATCATAGCGTACCAGACTTATATATTTCTTTTAAATCAGGGCATGACTATGCAATCTTGAATCAACAAAGATAAAAAGAAAGGTTGTCCCCCACCCTCTACTTCCAAAACTGTGGCAAATAAAAGCACACACACACTTCTGACTTTTTAAGTCACATGCTTTTGTTAAATTTGGGTTAAAACTTTCAGTAGTTCACATGTCCTTTAAGTCAGCTATGAAATATTCCAAAAAGACCTACCTTGTCTTGGGAATTGTTCAGCTAACTTCCTGAGACTTGTTAAGCTGTCAGCACCAAGCTGGCTTAAGATGCCTGGAAGCATTTCTGTGATCGGTTTAGCTTCTGCATGACCAGTAATTGCAAAAGTGTTGGCAGAGAGGGAAGCTTGAACCTTGGGGTTGTTGAAGTGAATAACTGTTCCATCATCTTTTATCATGTTCACCTGTTTAAATATATTAATAACATTTACCTTACCTAAGTGTTGCAGCATCTTGTTACACAAGCATTGTAACTAAAATCTAGATTTGAAAAATCAAAAATTACAGAACTAGAACTCCTCCTAAAGGATAATACGATAAAAGCACCTGGAATTAACACCATCTAAATTCAAAGCTCCAACAGCAGCACCTTGCCACATCAGGTTAAGCCACTGCCTTTCACAGGTACCTGTGTCACCTACCAGGAAAACATTCCTGCTTCTTCCCAGCTGACAAGAGGCACAGGACTCACACTGGCTCAAGGCAGGGATGCACGTGCAGCACTGGGGGATTATGTACCCACTGCACTAGAATAGACTTCCAATACCTTCCCAATAATTCCATGAGGGCTCTTAAGACTAAGGACACCACACAGTGATCCTGCTCTCCTCTTCTTCCCTGGCCTTCTGAATCACCAAGAGTTCTACCTTACAGTCAGTGTAGTGGCTGCTTTAGAAAGCTGAAAAGCTTTTTCTTCTGGGCATGGATAAACTATTATGCAAAAAATAATTGTCTGACCGTAGGAAGAGACTTCTACCCATCCAACACAATAGTGGTATTAAACTTACATGAAAAAAATATTAAGCAATGTTTTTAAGTTACAGGGAGAAAAGAGGGATTCAGAACTAGAAACGACATCTAAAATACAAAAACATCTAAGTCCTCAATCCTTACACAGCAGCAGAGTTCCAAATACGTTTTGAACAGGAAATCCAGGTGTGCCGCTTTCCTGCAAAACTAAGCAATATCCTGTCCTTTGCCCATGGGGAAATGGTAAAAGCTTCAAGCACAGTTATCCTGTTACTTAAAAGCCTCTTTCAAAATGACACAAATGTGTTATTCATGCTTGACTCAACATTACTTTTGTATCTGCACGAAGCTTACCAAGGTCAACTTGCGTTCACTTGAATAAAACCTTCCACAATTATGTCTCTTGCTATCAAGGTAGAAACATTTTGCATCGTCTTCCTACACTGAGGTATTTAAATTCCTTAATAACTGTCTGAATAAAGATCCTGTGCTCTGTGCACAAAAAAAACCCTGAACATACACTAAGAAGAACCATATCTTTCTTTAGTTCATACAGCTCTGCATATTTGTATTAAGTTCAAGAAAACAGACACACTGAACTGTTTCTGTAACAGAGGTCTGAAAACTTACAGGCAAACCACACCAAATCTGCATTTGCCTTTGGAAGAGAGGAATGCACTTCTCCATGCACGTTGCAATCCTGCTTCAATTAATTAATCAGAGATCAAATACTGCACTTCTTTAACGAAGGAGTACAAGCACTGCAGCCACACTGAGCTCATGATGGAGAAAACTACTTCTCTTCCCATATATGAGGGTCACTCCCTATACTGTTATGGAAAACATGTTTTATTAATACATGTAAATGAGAGGCATTCAAGGAACACCTGAAACCTTCACATTCCCACTTGCATTAACACAGAAGCTGCCTCTGTGGAGACTCTGCACTGCTGTAAAAAAACATTTCCTGTAACTACTACAAACAATTCCAGCAATTTTTCGCAGTAAAAGGTCCTAATTTTGATAATACAGACTCAAGTTCATAGTCAAGGTGTTTCTAAACCTTCCTTCATACTCTGCACCACACTTGCTCTAGATGTGCCTGCACAGTCCATGTACATTTACTGCTCTTTGCTTTAGAGCAAGTAATCAAATTCATAAAAGTCAAGAATGAAGAGAAGCTTTGTTCTGCAATAAATGCAAGACACACACACACACATACAGCACACAGCTTACTACCTCCACCACACATTGCCTGGCCAGCAGAACCTGCACCTTTCCTTCTCCAGGCACATACACATTAATGTCAATGAGGCAACAATCATCAAACAACATTACCTCTCAATAACCAGATCTCTATGCTTTTGCTTGGAAGATAAAACTGTTGTAAAAAGAAAGGCAAACCACACCACACCACCACCAAAACAGCAGATTGAATTTAACTTCAAACAGGAAACACTTATTTTTTCACTATACCTCTTCAATGCCAGCAATGTTATTTACAGCCAGTTTTTTGAGGGAACTCTGAAGTTTTTTGTCATCAGCTGTAGCTGTTCTGTGTACCACCTTCTTCTTTCTGCGAGCTGTTCCCTGGGAAGAATCGAGACAAAAGTCAGCTCTCCTCAAAATCTCACAAAGACTAATTGCAAAAGTCAGGGCACAGTCTGAGCAATATCTTTCAAGTTATGAGACATTTCTGTAGACAAAAACTATTCTCAACTTATTTCCCTTTACCTACAGCTTTGCCCACCATTCCCGATTTTAAGTTTTTTCTTAAGCATAAAGACCAAAGAAATAGTAAACAGCAGTACATTTTCCCTTCCACTCACCCAGCCTACAAAAATACTACTTATTATTGAGCAATACAGAACAAAGTTTCCCCAAGATACTTTTTCCAAAACAAAGCACAAATACAGTGATTAAAATAGTCCCACTTTGGCAACCAAGTCATTAACGCTTTCAGAGTGTTCCACAGACAGCAATTTTGGAATTCCTGCTTTGAAAACTTCTGTACAATCATTCCTACAAGGGGATGAGCACCCACACTGAACAAACAACATGCCCTTTTATCGGTCATATTAACCACCCATTAGCTCAGAGAAAAGAAACAGCTCAGTGCACAGCCAGTGCCTGAAGCAGGCACAAAGAAGAAAATCCCCAATAGGAAGACCATAAAGGCATAACTGGGACATCCAACAGGTGAGATTAGCTGGAGCTTTCACAGGTCACAACAAGTCATTGAATTAGAACAATGCTTACACACTGGAAACTGCTCATCCAGCCGTTGTGAACTGAAAGAAACTTGTGTTTCAGGTAGCTGCACTACAGGCCAGATCACACAAAACCTGTATTAGTCAAACCTGAGAATACTTTTTTTCTTCTCTTTCTATGAGCTTCAGTCCATGCTTTCAAAAGCATCTCTGGTGGTTTTCTTACCTTTCCTCCTATTCGGACCTGCGCTTGAAGCTTGGCCAGTTTTTCTTGGTTCATAGTGCTACGTCTAAAGAGCAAGAACAAGTTCAACTTAACAGTAATAACAAAAAGTCACAGTCCATGTTAAGAGCACTCTTACGATTGCAGCAGGTTTTTCAAACTTCTAGAACATCACCCAAAACAGTGTGTCAAACAAACACACAAAAACAGAGCTTTCAAATTATACCCCCTAAACTATCCATAGTGGTCCTGCAGCAGGAAGGACACACATTTAGCTGAAGCGTCTATGCCAAGATGAGGCAACTCTACAGGACGTTTCATTCTGCATCAGGCCAAGGTACTCATTTCCAAGATGCCAGTTTATTGCTGGAAGTATTTAACTGAATTACTGGCTCCAACCAGACCCAAACGAGCACAGAGAACTGGGTCTGGGAAAACACCATCTTTACGAGGGTCCAGGGACACAGTCACCACTAAACTACCTGGGATAGTATTCATGGAATTAATCTATTATACTTATGACTAATAAGCGAGATCCAAACTCTGTGAACTTCGTGTATGGACATATTTACTACATGAACTTCTGGCAGCTTTTCATCCAATACAGTGACCGCGAATTTTGTGCAGTGCTTCTCCCACGAGTCAGATGTGACCTTTAAAGGCTAAAAGCCCTGAAAATCCATAACGTGTGAAAAAAGGCCTCAAGCCTTCCACCAAAATGAATGCGTTTCGCTGCTCTGCCCCAGCGAGCCACCAGTGATCCCCAGAAATCCCCGCATGTGCTTTGTGCCGGGAACGAGCGGGGGCAGAGCGGGAGCGGGGCAGGGATCGGCGCACGGAGACCCTGCGGGGCGGCGGGGGAAGGGGCTCGGGGTGGCTCGCTGGGCAGCCCCACAGCACGGGAACACGGCTCGAACACGGCTCATCCCTCAGGAGCCCGTGTAACCGCGGTCTCACGGCAGAGCCGCGGCCCCGCGAGCCAGGGCAGCCCCCGCACAAGGGGATCGCTCGCTCGGCCTCTCCCCGAGGAACGGCCCAGTACTGCCCAAGGGGACGGGACCGAGCTGCCGCGGCGCGCCGCCCGCCTCAGGACGGCGGGGACGCGGCGGCAGCGGGACGCGGCGGTCCCGGGACACGGAGACAGCGGGACGCGGGAAGAGCGGCCCCCTCACCTGAGCGCGGCGGAGCCCGCGGCCAACACGCGGCGAGAACAAGATGGCGGCCGAGGAAGGAAAGAGAGGCGCACAGAGAAAGGAAGCGCCGCGCCACGTGACGGCGCCAGCCCGCCCGCAGATGGGCGGGCCCGCCCACCTCATTTACATAGAGGCGGCCGTGTGGCGAGCAAGGGCTCCTGGGAGTTGTAGTCTCCAGGGAGCGGCAGTCACCCGCGCCTCGGGGCAGGGAGCGGTGCCCTGTGACCCAAACTGGGACGCGGCGCTTCCAAACGCGTCACCACTCGCTCTGTCCCTCTCAGGGAAGCCTCCCTCACACGCTGCGCTTGCGGTCGGATTTGCTTTCCCGACAGCCAGGCAACTCCAGAGAGCAGCGCGACAAAAGCGTTTATTTGTGAAAGAGAAAATAAACCCGGAACCACTCCCCTCCCACCGCTGCCTGCTCCCGTCGGGATAACGCTGGGGTTTGCCCAGGGGGAGTAACCAGGACTCGGGGCCCCGGTGCGATGACTCCTACCCCGTAAGGAGCTGAGCCCATGCCGAGCCCCCCACACCGCTCCCGCGGCTGCCTCCCCCAGCACCGGGGGCCGAGCCGTCGGAGCGGCGCACCGCCCACATCCGCCACACATCACTTCCCGGGCTTTAAAAACGGGGAAAGAGGAAAAAAAAAAAAAAAAAAAAAAAAAAAAAAAAAAGGGGAAAAAAAAAAAAAAAAAAAAAAGTCTAGCTAAGCGGGTCCTGTCCTGTCCGGAGGTTCGGGGCCGTGCCGCCGCTTTCCGCGCAGACACCATGAAGGCTCAGCCCGCGGCAGCCTCCGTCCTCTGCCTGTGCCTGGTGCTGGCGGCCTGCGCCGCCTCCGCCGCGGGAGGGCTCGGAAAGGGTCAGACAAACGCTTTCTTCGGCTTCCCCCAATTCCTGTCCCCACTCGTGGCCACCGGGCGGGGGCACGGCACGTTCCCCTCAGCCCGCGGGGCCGCCGGGCGGGAGCAAAGGGCGCAGCTTCGGGCTGTGGAGGCGCGGGGGGCTTCGCGGGGTCTCCGCCGTTGCGGTCGGGTTCTGGCCGAAGCCTTTCTGAGGGCTCTGGGGAGCAGCCCCGCCGTGCCCCTGCCTGCCCCGAGCCCCGCCGGGCTCCTGGCAGGCGTGAATGGCCCTTCCCTCCGCCCGCGGCTCCCCTTGCCCTTCGTGCCCGCTTCTCACCTCGCTCCTGGCTTGCCCGGGCTCCTTGCCTAATTACCGTGTCTAATAGCCCGGTTCATCCGGGGCCTGGGCTTCTCCCTGAGTGGTGGCTCTGCCGTAGAGGTAAATCTCCTCCTCAAGGCTGGTTGTAACCAATTTGATCAATGACAGCAAAGCTGTGGTGTGGATCCCAGCCAGCCATTCACCCTTTAATTCCCCAAATGACTTTCATTCAAAAGATGCACTCTGTAATGTGTTGGGCAATGCTTTTAAAAACACACTGTAGTTCACCACGTAGTGGGGTTTGTTTTAAATACAGAAAAGCTTTTGAAAAGTGTTTCCCAGCTAGAACAATAGAAGGTTTTTCCTATTTTAACATTTTGGCCTTCGACTGAAATATCTGACATGTCAATATTCTGGGTAAACGTGACTTGTGCTATTCCATCTGGGTTTTTGCTCTGGGATGTTGAGCTCGTACAAATGTAGTCCTGTGTCGGGGGCTGCCTCAGCACTTGCTGTGTGGGTGTGAGGGGACAGGGATGAGGCATCTCCACATCTCTTTGATGTGTTGCATCACTTAGGTTCACAGTTGCTTGTATCAGCAGAGATCAAACACTGTGCCTGTGTCCACACCTCCTGGATGCTGAACAGAGGCGGCCCAAAGATTTGCTGGCGCTGTTTTGGGCTTTCTCCAGCTTCTTTGCCCTAGTTGTGTACTGGAGAAAATGTCCACTTTCCCCTATGTCTGCACTGGGCAGTCTGTGGCTCCTGATCTCTCTGCAGCTCCCAAAATCTCCCCTAGGCACCTCGGGCATGGTGGGTTCCTGACTAATCTGAAACTTACGGATGGGAAGGGGCAAACCAAGGCTCATGTTTGGCCATCCAGCACAGTAATTGTTAATTACTGGAACCAAGACCTCTGAGGAGGTGTTCCAAGAGAGTTCCTCTTTGTACAGTTCCTGGATCTCCTTCATCTAAGCTTTCCAGGTGGCATTTGGCTATGTGCTCTGTTGGCTACTAAAAAAGCCCAACCCTGGCAGTCACTGCTTTACAGCTGTTAAACATACCCTGACTCACTCTTAAGTCAATTGACATAACAAGACTTGTTATCTGGATGTCAGATAAAATGTTTCCTGCATCGTTCAGTCACTATAACACTCAGAAATCTGTATAATGGTGTTCTTTCTTGCTCTTCCATGCTATTATCATCAGCAGGAATACTTAGCATAATAGCTTTAGAGCAATTAGTGATCATATGTTCGCCTTGAAATTTTTAAGTTTCAGTTTAGTTCACCTTCAGTGGGATTTAGGAAGCCAAATGCTGAGATGTTTAATTTGTCACTCATCAGATAATAAATGTTCACAGAATGAAAAAGAACGGAGAATAATCAGAAGGCACTTCAATTTTAATATCTGTTTGGGGGATTTTAGTGTCATTGACATACATATATAGAAATATTCATGAGCATGGTATGTTTTTGCTAATTAATTTCAGTGGGATTCCTCATACAACTGTGTGGGCTTTAAGTATTTGCAGAAGTCTTTCCAGAAGTGGGGCTATAGTTGTCTTTAAAAAAAGAATATAAAATGAGTTGAAAATACTCGAGTGTTGGGCTGTTTTCCTCTATTAGCTGACATGTTAAATTATGCAGCATTTATAAACTCCTCTCTCTGGCAGGTTTTGGAGATCATATTCATTGGAGAACACTAGAAGATGGGAAGAAAGAGGCAGCAGCCAGGTATGTTTGTTGGTTTTAAATACAGAAATTTCTCTTCAGAAGCATTCACAATGGTTCTATTTCAGGCGTAAATTTAACCACAGAAAATAGTCTCTTTTAACAGAACTGAGGGTGATTTAGGAAACTCTTCAGATCCCTACAGGTTACTGGAGAGAAAATACAGAATTTTGTTAAGTTTGCTAAGGCACCAGCTAGGTATAATCACTGCAGTCTAATTAAATAATTGAAGCCCTAGCATGTCCTTGAAACAAGAAAATATTTATCACAGTAAAGAAAGATATGGTTCTCCAACACACAAATGCAAGTGTAAGTGGTGCTCAATGCCCTTAAAATCAGCAGTGCTAAGAGCTTCCCTAAAATTCCTTGTGCCTGTATAGATGAGGTCTCAGCATGAGGTATTTTGTTTCCATCTGCAGCAAAAACCTGGAAGTTTCAAACTGTAGTGAACTGACAGAACCTGGTTTGGGCTAAGCCTAAATTCTAAAAAGAACAATGACAATGAAAAATGACATCTTGACTTTTTTCTTTCTCAGAGTTTCTTCTGCTTCTTGTTGAAATCCAAGAAGGAGAATGGCATGCTTATAAATTCTACTTGCATTTTAACTTTATAACCTAGATCTGACAATGCTGACATGAGCAGAATTTGCTCATGCCTTCCAGGTTTGCTGTTTAATTTAGCTCTGCTCTCAAACTGATCCATCTGGCAAGTTCTGCACTCCAGTGCAGACATTGAATTAACCCAGATGGTACACTTCAGAAGTCTTACAAGTTTTTCTAACTTGATACTTTAGCATTTTTGAAAAAAAAAAAAAAAAAAAACCTAAAAATAGATTATTTCAGTTTTTACAGTTATAATTGTAGCAGCAGCAGAGGAAGGTTTAAAATGAGACAGAAGAGGGTGGGAGGGATGGCAAAGTCTGAACTCTCAGGTTTAGGTGGGATTAGTGTTCCTGCTCAAAAAGACCCTGCAGCAAGGGATGGGGTTGGGTGTGAGCCACACTCTCACTGCTGATGCACAGGTCTGCTCGCTGATTTGAGCGCGGCAGCATTTGAATGTTATTGAATTGAAGGATTGGGAGAAAACTACTAGTTGCAAGGAAAATATAAACGTAAAAAGTGCATTTTTTTTCTCCTATGTCTGACCATAAATCAGGAAATGAAAAATTACACAAAATTATCTGGGATGCATCAAGTGAGATGCACGACAGCCGGTGGTCTAGGAAGTTCCAAACCTTCCATTTCGTTTCTGTAAAATCTAGAATGTCATGGGATGCTGGGGACTTCTCAGTTTTAAGTTTCTTGCGGCCGAGGGCGCGGTCCCTTCGTTCTACCAACCGCTGCGACGGCGTTTTTACGCGGGACGCCTCGCAGGGCGGTGTCGCGGTGCCAGGGCCGTGCTGGGGCGGGGAGGAGGAGCGCGGGGCGGGCCGCTCCGGGCAGCGTGAGCGGCGGAAGCAGTCGCTCCACGTCCGGGTCCGGTGCCGCTGGCGGGGCGATGCCGCTGGTGGTGCTGTGCGGGCGGCCCGGCAGCGGCAAGAGCCGGCGGGCGGCCGAGCTGCGGGAGGCGCTGGGCGGCCCGGAGCGGGCGGCGCACGTCGTGGCCGAGGCTGAGGGCGGCCGGGCGGCGCTGCGGGCCGAGGTGGAGCGGCGGCTGAGCCGGCGGGACGTGGTGATCGTGGACGCGGGCAACGAGCTGCGGAGCATCCGCTACGAGCTGTACTGCGCGGCGCGGCAGGCGGGCACGGCGCGCTGCCTCCTGCACTGCGCCGGCGGCGCGGGCGGCCCCGACGAGCCGCCCTTCGAGGAGCCCGACCCGAGCTGCCGCTGGGACCGGCCGCTGTTCACGGTGAGCGGGGAGGAGCCGCTGCCGCTGGGCGCCATCCGCGCCGCGCTGTTCGAGAGCGCCCCGCCGCCGCCGCACCGCTCCACCCGCACGCAGCCGCTGCAGTCCTGCGGCTTCCTGCACCAGCTGGACCGCGTCACCCAGGACGTGCTGGCCGCCGTGCTGGCCGCGCAGAGGAGCGGGGCACAGCCCGGGGAGACCATCCGCGTCCCCGGCGTGGCCGAGGGGCTGGTGCTGAGCCGGCCCGTGAGCGTGGCCGAGCTGAGCCGGCTGCGGAGGCAGTTCATCAGCTACACCAAGATGCAGCCCAGCGATGAAAACCTGCCCCAGCTGGCCAGTATGTTCCTGCAGTACCTGAGCCGCAGCATCCAGTGAAGTGTGTCACCTGTGCCACCCAGCAGTGGCGGTGGTCTGGCCCCGAAGTACTTGCCGCGGGAGGAATGTGGCTGCAGGCACAGACCCTGCAGAGCCCGGGTCCCACCTGTCCGGATCGGATCACTTGGCAGCAGCAGCTCTGAGAAGATGGGCGCCGTGTCCCTGCAGCAGCCGACCCAGCTGCATTGCTGGGGGGTCTCCGGGGAAACAGTTCCTCACCCCTGCCTTCTCCCCACTGGCATCTTGCAAAAAGGATTGCTACTGGTGCATCCCCAAGCAAGGAAAGTCTCCTGTGGAGATGCAAACCCCAGTAATCAAATAGTGTGATGTGAAGGTGTAAAAGGTGATGACTGTAGGGAAGACTTTTCCCTCTAAGTTGGCATGTGTATGCCTGGAATAAGAAGATTGCTTTTCAAGAGCTGCTACCAGATAATGTCAAACTGCGGACTAGACTTCAGGTCCAGAACTGGAACAGTCTTTTTTTAGGATGTGACTGTTTCAAAAAATCTGACTGACCCAAGAGAGATTTTCAAATCCACACTGCAAAAGGGTGCTGGCTTAACAGACTCAAACTTCTCTGTTTCAGATCTAATAATAAAATTTGTGCCTTAAATGGAATAAAGTCTTAATTTACCTGCAGGATTATTTTACTGAAATTACTTGGCCATGTCTTTTTTCTTCAAGGTCATTATGCTTCCTTAAAACCATCATTTTACACCCTTAAAAACATAAATTGCTTGAGTGCTGTTGTAGGAAAAAATGAGCTAAAATGACAGAAATAAATGTATTTATTTCTATTCTGTGTGAAACTCACAAGTCTGTACTGGCTGTGATGGGTAGCTAGGTTTTCAGTAATTTTGGGTACAGCTTATATAAACTTCTCACTCTCTGGTGGTTGCTTCTTTCATCATTCTAATAAATGGTGGCACTTGTTTTTAATTGTACATGTAGTGATCACTTGCATGAAACAGTTAAACAGGGCAGGAAGGGAGGGTTACTTCAGTTACAATGTCTGTCTGGCACACCAGCTGCTAAGGGGCTTTATGCACTGCAGAACTACAAAAATGTTTTTATATAAATAAGTTTATCTTACCAGTCAAAGTAAAGAGAACAAAGCTGAGAAAACATATCAGTTATCTCAAACCACTGTGAGTTCTCACTGACTAAGAGTTGGTATCTCAAGGAAGTGAGCACTTTCATTTAAAATCTGCTTTTAAAATTTCTCTTCAAAAAGTGTGTGGCAGTATCAACCACCAGACCATTGAACTCTTTCAACAAGAATCACTGATTCTTGATGATTAGAACAATCTTAAATCCAGTTTAAATTAGCCTCTCCTCAAGAAATAAGCAAAATTATTTTGGACTCTATAGAAACAATGAAAAGAAGTCAGGGAGAGGGCACTGAGGTGATGCAAGCTTTACTATGGAAATGTGTATTCTTGCTCCTTACTGCGAGCAGATATAAAATTGATGACATGTCCATTAATTATAGATTGCAAATTTGTGTTTGAACAATTCTAAATGTTAATGGCTTCATTTCCACCCTTTCCTCATTCTAAAGTTCATTACTTAACACTCTTAACTAGAGATTTCCTTTCATGTCTATTTACACCTAAAGAAAAACTCATACATCAGTTCTGCTAGTAATTAATGTTGTTGTGTGCAAAGGTGTTAATAATTCATGTGTATGAAAATTTGACTTTATTTTTATCCCCTAACATGGTGCAGAGATTGCAGTTGGAGAAAGTTTACAGTTTGCTTTGCTTGGCATATCCTGAAAGAAGTATCCATATAGGATGTTCTCTCCAGATTCCTTCCTCTCCTCCACCTAATTTTAGGGCTGTTCTTACTGTTCTGGAAGCCATATCATTATTATATGGAAACTTAACCTCTGGGTAGCATAGTTAGTAAATGTAAAATAAATTATTTGGAAAGAGTGAAAACAAAAATAACTTGGGTCCTTCTGCGTTGCACTTTATTTAGGCTGCAGTTCCTCACAGACCCCCTCTTCTTCTTAGCCCTGGCACTGGACACATCCATCACAATTAGTTTCAGCATACAAATGTGTAGGAAGCCATGCAGGCAGTCAAAGGGTTTGCTGGGTTTTTGGGTTTGCTGGTTGTTCAGTGGAGGGCCTTAGTCACAGGAGGTGACTGAGATGTGGGCTGTAATGGGGAGAGGTCATCCACTGGATTGACTTAAGCAGCCATGAAAATCCATCCTGAGATCTCTCAAGCAGCTGCTGTCATTAACCATTTTCAGTAATCCAGGGAAAAAAAGGCATGACCAGTTGTGTATCTGAGAAGTCTAAATTAAGAAGAGAAAGTCTCCTCCTCTACACGAGCAGTTATTGGCTGGCAGCTATAATAAATTAGTTTATCACATGTTTTAAAATTAGGAAAACCTTTTGCAAGACAATCTTACAGCACCCCATAATCTCTTTACATCTGATTTATTTCCCATTACATTTTGCCTTTGAGGAAGCCTTGACTGTTAAACTGTACATGTAATAGAATTTCTTTGACAATTTTCTTTCTTATTTTTGGTAGTGGTTTGCCTCTTATGGTGATCATCCACAAGTCCTGGTGTGGAGCTTGCAAAGGTAAGTGCATTGAATACTAGAGCTTGCTGAAATTTCTGATGAGCCTTTGTACAGAAATCATGTAGCCATGAGAAATGTGAATTTTGCATCCATATGTAACTAATGGTATTTGTATTTCATTGAGTGGCATTGTCATAGCAAACAAACAAGCTAGGTGTATGGCTAGGCCTTAAAGGATGAGGTAGTTGAGTGGGAGTGGTGGTTTACAGCAGGATTTCTTTTCTGTTGTACTGGATCAAACATAGCCGCCTATGTTTGTTGGGCAGGCATCAGCCCATGGCTGCCAGGCAGGAATTGCTTCAGTTACCTCCTGTTCTGAGCCTGGCTGGAAGGGTTGGATACATATATTCTGTTTACTCACTGCTTATTGAAAAGTGCTACTTCTCCAGAGGGAGGGATTAAGTGGAGATTTTGATATTGACCTGAAAATCTGAAATATTTTCCGCAGCTTTTACATACCTCTTGTTTTTTTTTTTTTCTTTAGCTTTAAAACCGAAGTTTGCTGAATCTAAGGAGATCTCTGAACTTGCCCATAATTTTGTTATGGTGAACCTTGAGGTAGGCTGCTTTCTGTTCTGCATCCAGGTTCTGCCTAGTAATGAAGCATTTGGACTCTGACTCAACTGGTTGCATCCTGTTTTGTGTACATCCTAAATCCTGCACTCCTAAATAGGCATTCAGGATTGATTGATAGAGCTCATTGTTTTAAAAATACTTTTTTTCAGTCTGGTTATTTTAATTGTGTTTATAAACCTGGCTCTCTGCCATTGTCTCTTTAACAGTTTGTACCTTGTGTGATTCAGTTTCCACAAGAAAGGAATTTATGTTCATTCTCTCAGTACATAGCAAATATTTCTGTACCAGAGTGGGGTGGGTAATGCAAATTGACAGGCCAGAAAAAAATATTGTTTTCACAAATGATACTTATGTAGGTAAAAATAGCTTTCTTCCCTTGCAGTTACTTAGCATCTCTTCAAGATGTAAAATGCTCAGGGTAGAAGGAACCTGAAGGCAGTAACTTGTTTCTGTTAAAGGTTCCCTTTTTTTTTTGGTTTTTTTGTTATTATCTTTCCTCTCTCCTGCCTTGTTGTGGAAGGATGATGAAGAGCCAAAGGATGAAGCCTTTAGTCCTGATGGAGGTTACATCCCCAGAATCCTTTTCATGGGTAAGATATCTACAGCTGTTGTGTCCATTCATAGCACTGGGTTCTTACTGTTTCCGTCTAAATTTCCTGTTGAATTTCTTATTTCACAGACCCCAGTGGAAAAGTCCATCCAGAAATCATAAATGAGAGGGGAAACCCCAGCTACAAGTATTTCTATACCAATGCTGATCAAGGTATGTGCTGAGTTGTTTGAAGTTCATTTTTAGTGAGATGAAGCTTTGGCAGTGGAGAGAAGTGATGTTACTTTAAAGTGTAACTGGGATAGGTTAGATACAGTTTGAGTGAGTGATTCTCTAATGCCTCAGGAACCATATTCAGAATCATGATTCACCTTAATACCTACTAAAAGTCTCTAGGACCTGCTTTTGTGTCCAGTTCTGGCATGGGAAATCATGGAATTTGCGTGATCCAGCCACACATAGTTGGGATAAGGGTGCAGGATTGGTTTTTTTTCTTAGAGATTGATCTGTACATTCTGTAACTGTGCTGTTTTAAAACACTTTCATTACCAGTTCACTTTGATGTTTTCACCCTGAGATTAATGGTTGGTATCTCTCTGTGTAATCTTTCAGTTGTCCAAGGGATGAAGGAGGCCCAGGAGAAGCTGACAGGTGATGCTTTCAAACAAAAACACCTGGGAGATGAACTATAATGAATACACTGAATGATACCTTTTCATGGCTTCAAAACTAAGAGGAAATGATTAAACAGACCAGGAATGTAGATGCACTGAAGGGACATAATTCCCCTGTCAGCAATGTTAGGTTAAAAACCCTGTTTGGAGTTCACACATACACAACAGTTACAGTTTTTTCTCTGCCTGGCAGTTTGAACTGTGGTGGTTCTTTGCAACTGGGTAATGTGCAAACACATCTCTGTGTGTTTGAACAACCTCTAATATTTGGTGTTAAAAGGGAGGTGTGTAGGGAACACAATGTGATGGGAAAAACTAGAAGTAGCCATCATTTTGACAATAATCAGGGTTGAATCTCTCTTTTCTCACTGGTATTATGTGATGCCATAGGTTTTACTGGGCATTCCCATCACTGGGGCATGTTCCTGGGCCAGTTGTTTTCTAGATATCCAAAACCATGAATTCTGCAACTACACCAAGTAGAATACATTTCGTGAATGTCCAAGTAGCATGTGAATTATCAGCTCTGCAAATGTATTTTTGTGTAAAACTGTGTGATTCATCTTTATTTGCCTTTGGGCAGAAATTTGACTTTTTCCTTATGCACTCACCTTTTGATTGTTCCATCAAGTGAGGGTGGGTTATGTTGAAGCTTTATGGGGTTTCCCCTTTTATTCTTTGAATGTTTTTGGCTAATGCCTTGCCATCACATTGTACTGTATTTTTGTACCAGGGTGAAAAAAATTAAACCTTTTTAAACATAAGTATGCAGAGAGTGTTTTGTGGTTAAGGGCGTAGCTTTACATTCTTAAGCATGGGGGGATATGTTTTTGTTTGTGGTGCTGTTATTATTAATGTTGACTGTCACAGATGAAGGTTGCTCCTTTTTATAATTAAAATACATAATTTGTCTTTCCATACAATTACAATTCAGCCATTCTTACACTACCTACACTGTTGAAGGCAATGTGTTTATTTACTGGAACTGAAGAGAAGAATGGAGAGGAGTAAAATCACCTCTCTTGACCTGCTGGCGACACTTTTTCTAATGCAACCCAGCATGCAGTGGGCTTCTTTGTCCCATGGGTGCATTGCTGACCCATGGTCAGCTTGTTCTCCACCTGGATTCCCATGTTCTGCTGTGCAGCAAAATGGATTTCCAGACTGTACTGATGCACAGGTTCTTCCTCCCCAGTTCAGGGACTTTGGACTTCCCTTTCTTGAACCTCCTGACAACCCTCTCTGCCCATTTCTCCAGCCTGTTGAAGTCCTCAGTGGCAGCACAACCACTGTTACATGGATATCAGCCTCTCTCTCTGGCTTTGTATCATCTGCCAGTTTCCTCAGAGTTAGGTGTTAAAAAGTACCAAGGGTACTCCACTAATGATGAGCCCCCTTCAGGCCAGCTGTCCTGCCAGTTTTCCATCCATTTCACTGCCCTTTTATTTAGGTTGCACTTCCTCAGTTTGTCTATGGGGATGCTTTGGGAGACAGTGTTGAAAGCTATAGTAAAGCCAAACACCACCTGGTG